CACCTTCATATTCTTGCCCTTACAATCACACAAACAACATTTGAGAATTTCCCTACAAATGAAGTTTTACCTTATGAACAGCACCTCTTTCCTCCAGCTTTGGTGGCCTTGCTGACGATAGATACTGTGGAAGATCTGCAAATACATAAGGGAAGCATGTTTATTTATTGTAATTTGCAAAATTGTACTCTGTGAAATCTCTACTTTGCTAAGTGAAAAATCTGTACTTTGCGAAGTGAAAAATTTCATTAATGATTATAGTAAAGATTATAGTAAAGATTATAGTTCATCAACTACGCATGCATGCGTGGCAATGATTGGACCTGTATTTTCTCCCAAACTGTAATTGTAACGCAACATTTCGTCACGTGGAGTCACGTGGCTCTTCCCTTTGCCTCAGGAAGTCGTAAAGTCTGAAGTCTCCTCGGGGGACAAGGAGGAGGAGGAAACAGCAGATCACGTGAAAAAACAAATCGCTGGTATGTCTTTGCAGACTCATTTTAAGACAAGGCATTTTCTCAACTAAAATACACTACACTACATTTTCATAGCATGAATAATTGGACATACACCCCTCCTCATGCCGACCACCACCACCCCTCCTCCTTCGAGGCTCAGGAAAAAAAATGAGTATAGGAATTCGCTCGACCTCGACAAAATTCCTCCTCGGTTCGTCTTCAGAATACTCCAGGTAAACATTCGAAACCTTCCTAAGTGTTCGGGCTGACATTGGAAAATCTTCGGAAAACTTCAGTTCAACTCCAAAAGTCTTCAAAACAACATCGGAAATTTTCGTTAGTGTTCGGATCAACTTCAAAATTCGTTGGAAGACTTCGGGTCAACTTCGGAAAGAAAAGTAAATAGCAATAGGTTCTCCTAGGGAGTACTGCTCTCGTCCAATCAGAATCCAGTTATTTCATTTTGTCGGGGAGCCCTGGAGATGAGTTTAGTCAACCAAGACAATCCAAGACGGTGTTTAAAAACTATCAAAGGCGTTTTTGGTCGTTTTGGAATATTTTGGTTCGTTGTGGGTNAACAAAATTCCTCCTTGGTTCGTCTTCAGAATACTCCAGGTAAACATCCGAAACCTTCCTAAGTGTTCGGGCTGACATTGGAAAATCTTCGGAAAACTTCGGTTCAACTCCAAAAGTCTTTGAATTGACATCGGAAATTTTCGTTAGCGTTCGGATCAACTTCAAAATTCGTCAGAAGACTTCGGGTCAACTTCGGAAAGAAAAGTAAATAGCAATAGGTTCTCTTAGGGAGTACTGCTCTCGTCCAATCAGAATCCAGTTATTTTGTTTTCCAGTTATTTTATTTTGTCGGGGAGCCCTGGAGATGAGTTTAGTCAACCAAGACAATCCAAGACAGTGTTTAAAAACTATCAAAGGCGTTTTTGGTCGTTTTGGAATATTTTGGCTCGTTGTGGGTCGTTTTGGATCGTTTTGGGTTCGTTGTGGATCGTTTTGGGCCGTTGTGGATAGTTGTGGGTTGTTTTGGGTGGTTCCGCGATTTAGTAGCTACATTCTTAGATGTTTAAATCTTCTTTGAAAATCGTTTTACATTAACTTGCCATTCGAATGACTTGCGTTTAATACTGTTCGTGACATTTTCGCATCCGTTATAGTAACCTTAGCGTCCGTTTAAATGGCAAGCAAAAATTGAATGGAAGTTACAAAGAAGTGTTATTGTTTGAATGGCCACAGAGCATATCTAGTACCAGGATGACTGACACGGAACAATAATTGATAAACAGCTAATAACAGCGAACTAAGAATTTTGTATGAATATTGAACTTTCAGTTTGACAACTGTTAGACCTGTAATTTGATAAGACCGACCTAAATTCAAGTAATCACTTGCTCGCCGTGCATTAGTTTGTTGCATTTGTCTGCTTTTTGTTTTTTAATTTTTTTTTCCTTGCGTTTTTCTCCTTTTCTTACCTTTTTGCTGCAGTGATTGACTTTCTACTGGGCTTACTTCCAGTTCAAAAAAGTCTGAGAAAGCATCATTGAGACGGACAATTTTTAGCCTGCAGTAGCCAAGTGTAGTCACAGGAAATTTTGCTCTGAGTTTTTCATTCAAATTTCTGAGCATTTTCATGTATATTTCAGGCTCCATTGAGCCATTCACTCTGATCAGTGTAGATGATGCTAATTTTGGTCAAAGCTGGTGACGTCAGAAGTGGAACAAAGGTCAAGGCTTGTCATGGGCGGTTACGGTCAGCACGGGAGTCAATGGGTTAATGAAGGGCCAAAATATTAAAAAATGTCAACAAAAAGAACTCAACCTGATGTTTAAAACTGATAGGAAAACAAGAAGTTATATTTATTTCTTTGCCACGCAACAAAATGCCTAGCAGAAACCAAGAAAGTTGAATAGGCAAAATGAGTTAATTATTGACAAAATAAAACCAGATACAACAGAATTTCTGTTCTTGTACTATAGCTGCTAATATTTGAGAAAACAGTAGAAAATGAAAGCGAAAGACACATATAAAAGCCAATTTGAAAACAAGATATCAAATAAGTTCTTCGCTGCATGACGAAATATTATAGTGCAGTGAAAGAAAGATGAAAGGTGTCAATGAAAAAGTTAATTTGACAAAAACAAGCCAATTATTTTGAGATCAATCGTATTTCAACTGTGTTAAAATCGTGGCCACTTTGTTCTTTTCTCGGCAGTTCTGTAGTAGCTGAATATCTGAACGAAGCGAATAAACTAAACAAACAAATCACGGAGGTCGCCTAATTTAAATATATGCAGAAATCAAGTGCAAGTTGCAAGTTACTGTTCACTTTTAAAACCTAAAATTCCCAAATACAGGGAACCAGTGGAAAGAAATGAAAAAGGAAGTTCCACAACAATAAATTTTCATTTAAGCTGAGGCAAAGAAACCTATTTAAAAGCAAAAAAGTGTTCAAAATTTTGCAGATGTGCTTAGCTTCATGTCAGCATATTCAAAGTAATTCTTCACGGTGAACTTGAGTTTTTGCAGACAACTTTTGCAGTCATTTTATCGGCCGTGGCGTTACCAATCATTCCAAAAGTTAATTCAACTTCAAAGTAATACTGTACATTACTATTTTTGTTTTCTAAAGTCTGGGAAGCTGCTTTAAATCTGCGATCAATCTTCAAAACTTACTTGAAAGTGTACCGATCATGTTTTTTGCAGTGGTTAAAGGAAGAAAAAAATTCTTCACTAGATTGGTTTGAGGACTCTGTACTTCTTGATCTTCCACTCTGAGGTCACCTAGACATTTATTTGTATCTTTCCTCTCTATTTTAAATCCCAAAGCAGTTATTTCTCCATGTTAGGAATGAAAACAAGACCTTCTGAAGTTTGTAGATTTGGCCTGCAACGTGCCATGAGTACAGTTTACCTAAACTTTTTGAGTGTATGATTTTAAGAAGAAAATCTGTCTTTCTACGACCCTTACACAAGGTTGGAAACTTAATTTTCAGACCACTCGCCCGAATGACCCTCAAAATGCACCCGCCTGGACCACTTTTCACTCGCCCAAAGTTAATGGTATGTCTTAACTCCCCAGCCTGGTTCTTTAACCATTTTAGTCATCTTTTATTTTTACTATTTAATAACCATTGAAATCTATTTCTTGTATTCCTTCGTATCTCGGGCAGCTTTCAGGGCTTTTTCGTTCTTTTTCTCTCGTTGACAATTTTAGAAACTCGGGAAATATATTTCCGTATTTTGGCCATGATCAGTTTATTACCGAGAGAAAACACATTGATCAGAGTGCTGGGAAAGTACTGGAAAACAATTTGCTCGCAACATTGTTGAGCATGTAGCAGACCAAGGATTATTACTTCAATGAAAAATTATATTTAAAGACCTTGAACCCCAAGAAAACACAATGGAGGCGCTTACTTTATATTTCAGTCAAATAGCCTTTTATTGATGAATCTTCATGAGATCCCTACAGTTTGCCGGTAAACATGTCTGTTCTTCTCAGGTGCGGTCCTTGGGTGCCATGTCTACCTGATCATGGATGGCACAATAGTGACCAGCAGTATCACTTTGTACATGTACATGCGTTATGTAATTATCACTAGGAGGAAGCCATATTTGTCTATTTACGAAGCCCAATGTTGCCTTACAGCACCAATTTATTAGACAATTCGGAAGATAAAACTTTGTAAAATAGAAATGGTAAGTTTATGTTCAGGGATTTTCTTGGCAAAATGGAATGTGAGAAACAGTGTTTATTGTGCAATTTAAATAATTTCTTGGCAACAAAAATTGTACTTGCCAAACGGGCGAGTGATTGATGATTTGCACTCGCCTGACACTTTTGATACTCGCCTGGGCAAGCGGGCGAGTGCTAATGTCCAACCCTGCCTATGGCAGTGTAAAAATTGTGCTCAAAACATCCATTGTGATTTGTGTATATGTCCTCAAGAACAATAGAACAATGAGAGAACCAAAAAGTCTTCAGAAAGGGCTGGAAAGGCAATTGTCCTCAAGTGCTATTTTTTGGGCAGTTGTGGGCAGCACAGGAAGTTTGGGGTGGTTTTTGCATGCGCGGTTACAGGCGGCAGCGGCATCAATGGGTTAAACGGCATTTCAACCCATGATCTCTGTGATGTTGAAGAGTGCTCTACCAATTGAGCTACTGACTTAAGCCAGTTGTCAGCAAAAATCAGTCTTAACAAAGCAACCTCAACAATTCTCTTGGTATCATTATTTTTTTCTTTCAGGCTGTGAAACTAACAAATATGATTCTTGGGGATGTAGTAAATGATGAAGTGGATTCAACAGATGTTGTCAGCTTGGCATTTAAAGAATTGTATGTACACTGTACAATAGCAAGTGAGAAACAGAAAGCAATGGTTATGTTGACTCAGAATACTCTAGAGTGCTTCCTGTCTTTTGGTAATGCCATCAAAGCTAACCCAGTGGTATTGGCAGATATCTAAATTTAGTGTACATTTGAACAAATTTACTTGACGTCCAAATTGGTTACCATGGCAAACCTAACAAGAAGTAAACGTGTTCCCCATTTTGAGACAAACAAGTAAACTAAATTTTCTTTTTGCTCCATTTTCGATTTGCTATATTTTCATCAAGTTCACAAGACATACATTTCTTCCATGTTAGTAAAATCTTTTGAGGTATTCAGAGACAACTTAAATTTTTGAAAAATTTAGGTGGTTCTGAACACCATCTACAGAATTTTAAAAATCACATAACATTTGTTGTTTTTCTCAATTTAATTAATAAAAAATACATCAAAATTAAGAAACTTTTCCTTAGTAGTGTTACATTATTTATCAATGTCAAAAGCTTGAAAGTAGGGTATGTTAATTTAACCATGTTAGATGGTGCCATAACAATCAAATGTGACATGAAACATACGTCTTATTTTGTTAATTGATAACATATTTGTCAAGTTTTTACTGTGTTCATTGTGACCATCACCAAGAGCCACCATGCCCATTTTATACATTTATTTCTCAAACGAATCAAAGGCTCCTTGGAGCTTCCTCATGGTATGTCTTAACGTTTCGATTAAGTTGTGTCCTTCGCTTCTCTAGCAACTGTGAGTGTCGACTGACTTGGAATGCAATTGATTGAGTTTCTGTAGAGCAATAAGGACTCCTGATCGAATCATGTAACATATTTTTAGAAAATAATACAAGTCTTTGGTATACCTTTGAAGAAAATGGTAATGTTTTTTTTATGCCTTAGTTTGTTTCATTAAGTAAATATAGTAGCTCAATCAGGTTTCTATTAAAGATTTGGTAAAATCTTCAGACATATTTTAAAGATAACCATCAAGATTATCAAAAACTTTGAACAGCGTGTGAACATTGTGGATTCCCTGGTTGATAGCGGAGCTCCAACCCACTAAGCAGAGCCCCATACTCACATAGAAAAGAAAAGCAAACATGTAAATTGATTTTCTCATGGTTGTCATGGCTAGTGGTATTGCTCATGGGCGCATATGCATGACGACAGCAATGATGGCGACGGTGGAGTTGCCTAAGAGGGCGGCCATGCTCCAGCTAATAGGTTGAAAGAGACATTCAGCCTTGGTTTATAATGTCCTTTTTTGATATTGGACATCCATGTTATGGTCAATTGACACCTGTCAAAACAAGGTATCCGCTGACCATTATCATGCGACGATATCATGGGCTCAAGTTTAGAGCTTATCGAGGTTGCATTGTCTTTTTTAAGTTGACTGCTGACCAAGAGCTGGTTTTCCAGTGGATCGCAGGCTCATGTCAGATTAACTTGTAAATGGGGCTGGGTTGTTTGGAAGACGGTTAACGCTAACCCTGGATTAAAAGTTAACCAAAGTATAAGTTTTTCTTGTTACAAATGTTTTTCACTGCTTTTGTGTTGTGTAGTTTCAAACTCAAAACAGAAGGGCAAACAATATACGGAAAATCTCACTGCAAAGTTACAAAACTCAGATCAAAACTTTCGCATATCCTGGGTTAGCTTAATCGGGCTTTGAACAAACCGGCCCAGGAACTCCGCCTTTAGGCTTTTTGTTTTTTTGTATTTTGTTTTTATTTGTAAGTTGTGGAATGGACAAGCAAAGAGATACTGTAATGCTAGTTTTACAATTTTACATGAAAAAGGGATACACACACACACAAAGAAAAAGAAAACAAAGAAAAGGGGAGGTAAAGAAGCCTATTACAATGTAAATATAAATAGGTCTCTACATACATCACCACAAAACATAAACTAAATTAACTGAAGCAAGGTAGAAATTTGTTCCATTTTTTATGTTTTACCAATTTATTGCTGTTAGCTGCAATTTTCTGTTCAATCTGGCAAGTTGCTTTAACCTTGGCTATGAAGACCTTTAGAGAAGGATGTATGATATTTAATTTACAGTTATAAATATAATATTTAGCTAATAAAATAATATGGTTTAGAATATGAAAGTCCTCTGCAACATTGAATACTCCAAAGATAACATTTTGTAGCGTTAAGGATGTCGAGATTATCTTTTTTTCAGAAATCCAGGAACAGAGCAACTGCCAGAAAGATTTTGTTACATTGCAATGAAAGAATAAGTGCTCAGGGGATTCGACTTCTGGCTTGGCTAAATCTATAAATTAGACAGATGACAAGAATTAACTTTTTCAAAACTTTTATTGAGAATTACAAATACGTTATTATTTTTACTTGAGATGACTTCAGTTGCAAGATTGAAATTATAACTATCTAATAAAGTAGTTTGAATTTGAAAAACTGAACAGTCTGACAACTTATAATTTTCCAGTAAATGGTTGAAAAACTCAACAGAGCTCGTTCATTATAACTTTTATTAACAAAAAGAAATTACACATTCGCTTGTGATTGGAACTCTGTGTGGTCATGTATCGTATATGTAATAATAACTGACATAGCAAGAGGAAATTGGATTCCATGTTTTCTATGACATACTCTGGACCATTTGTTAGTCCATCAGTCGGATCAACATTAGTTCTCAAGTCATATTTTACCTCAGTTGCTACTGATACTAATGAACATAACCCCATTTTCTTTGTTGGATCATCTGAGATTTTATCTTATATTTGTCTCTTGAGATCATCTGAAATATCTCCAAATATTTTTTTCCCAAGCGTCTGGGTGGGCTGGAATCCTAAATCCCCAAATTTGATTGGCTAATCATACGCATGTGACTAGTCCAGCTTTTTACGAAACGGCCCATGGGCTGGATTTTTTTCCCCACTGCCTAAATTTTGCTCCTAAAAGTTAGTGGTAATTGTCAATCTTTTGCCTTTTTTACCCTCCATCAACGATTAGTCAATGCAAGTTTATCTCTGTTCACTTTAAAATGGCAAGGAAAGTCACTGTAAGTAAATTCAATGGAGTGTTTTGAAGTTGTGAAAGTTTGCTTGGTTGTTTGTAGCTTGGCACTGTAATGGCACGTGATCCTGTGTTTTTCTCACCGTAAAATTTGAGTCGGTTCCAGTTGAGTTTACCTCTCTGATCTTGCTGTATTTAGGAGAATTTCTGTGCAATACACTCAATGAATTTCCTTGCTTTCTGCTGTTCAATTTACGGTAGACAAGTCTGATTTCAAGTGATTTTAAAAGAAACAACTGACAGAAATTGTTTTTGTAGTAAAGCTTCAAACTTCAAACTTGAAATAAATGCAACTAACATAAAGTAGTTCCATAAAAATCTATTCTTTAATAAATCTTTCTTTGTGTGCTATCTGAGTTACTCACTCATTGCCAAGACTTTTTACAAATCGTTATAAGATGGCACGCAAGCCGATTCAATGACAAGAGATGTGTAAACAAATACATTTGTGATCTGTAAAACCATTTTACCGCAGGAAAAAAATAAATATGTCTTGAAAAAAAATAAACAGGTCTTGAAAATGCTGCCTGAAGCCACAGGCCTCAGGCAGCATTTTCAAGACCTCAGTCACAGTTTTTCACTATACGGACCTCCCCCGCGCCAAATAACATATGTTTATCATGTCCACAGCCTTAATCTGAGCTTTAGCAGTTTTAGAGAGTATATAGATTAGGACATTGTTGTGAGCATCTACCTATGTCTTTGCAGTAAATAATAATTACTATTTTCTGATGTTCCATTCGAAAGTCTTTGTTTTAAAATGGCTATCATCTTCAGAGTTTTTTTCCCTCCCTCAAACGATTAAGGTTACCGTATACCTACAGGGTTGTCTGCATCCGAGCGACGTAGTACGTCCGGTTTAAGCTGTAGATGCCTAAACCCCTATATCAAATTAAAGCTTATAGAGCTGGCTGTCAAACCATACCAAAAATCTTGAAATAAAATGAACTTCCGATTTTTTCACGGCCACTAAATGCGAGTGTCCTAATCACCTTTTGGAAGCTACAATTCAAAGCGAATTTTGTTTTTTGCCAGTTTAGTTTTTCCTCAGTTTCGGGACAAAAAGGGCTAAAAAAGCATGTTTGCGTTTTGCCATATTCAATTGCAGTAAAAAGTTACAGAACATTTTTGAAATAGTATTTAAAAAATGTGAAGTGATCGTACAAAAATTGCTCTTGCAGAAAAAATATTTCGAAATAAACAATTGCAGACGCCTTTTTGTTTTTTATATGTTAATCTAGCTACTGTCTAAATTTGAGGGCAATCAAACAAATCCCCTTTGAGTTGTAATTCTTTAAAGTGTCTGCTTCAAGCCAAAAAATTTATTTGAGGAAACAGTGCTAAGAAAAATCTCTTGCTTCGCAAACAAACTCCGCCCACAAACGCCTTCAACTGGGTTCTCAGATCACTGAGCCAATCAGCGCTTGGAAATTTATGCGTGAATCTCCAAAACACCCTTGTGTTTCGCAATGTGCTCAAGGCAGAGAGACAATTTTTCTGTAGCTTGGTTTTTCTTGAAGCTGGTCTGGCAAAATGGGGAAGACGAAAAAGGATATGAATGCTAGAGTGGCTGGGCAACGAGAACAAACTGAGCAAAAGAAAGTTTGGCAGAGCAAATGTGCATGGATAATAATTCCAGTGGATCTCAGTGAGTTGGATTCATCAGTATCGGACTCAACAAAAGAGTCACTGTAAATGTCGCTGTTATCACTGTCGAGTTCCCAAATTTTTACAGAACCTTTCTCTTCTCTTGACTTGATCTTTTTGCCTGCTTGATATGATAGCTATAGCTTCATCTGTGAGGCCAACTTTCGCTTCTTAACTCACTGATATGTTTTCATTTGTTGTTAGCTTTTTCGAACTGGTAAACAGAGTTTTCCGTGATCCACGTTTACTTATAACTTAATAGAATTACACCTAATACGAAAAATGTGTGGATTAGCAATGCTGATT